TGCTACTTTATTGTCGTAATTTTACGACTTTATTCTCGTAATTTAATGACTATTCTCATTGCTACTTTATTGTCGTAATTTTACGACTTTATTCTCAAAAAAAAAAAGAAAATCTCTATCCTGGCCCTAATACTCCGTCATACAGCAGTAATACTCTCTAGGTAAATGTTCAAACATGTTAAACATTTTAATCTTTCATATATTAACAATTACTTGACAACTAAAATTCTCTGGTTAAATATCACATCTAATTACATTAAAGTTGATTAATACAGAATTCATTCTCTTTTCAGAACTAAATTTATGTTATTTGTGCTAAAGAGAAAAGAGTCTTCAGTGAAATCAGAGATAAATAAATTCTTTAATAATAACTTAAAAATCCATTTAATGTAGATATTAGTAGATGTAAATATTAATTTTATGCAGAAGATTTTTTTTATAAAAGTATGGAAATGGAAAAGATGTTTGGCCCAGAAATGTTTTCTACTGTACCTTTAATTTAGATGGCCTGGATGTTTAAATATAAGCGTCTATTTGTAAGCGAAGGCTGTAGGAAAGTATAGTTAATCTTTATTTAGAAAATATGGATGTTATGGTCGCTCATTTTCCTGTTGGAACAGTATAGACTGACCGTGAGGTTCTGGCGCCGCTCTGCTTTCGGCCCCCCCTCAGCGTACCTTGGTTAATGCCTGGCCCCCCTTATTAACATTTTCTGGCTACGCCTCTGTCACTGGCTGCCCCTTTGCCCTCTCTCTTCTCTGTCAAATTTCAACGCATCTGTCACTCCATCGAACCCGCCACTCCTCTCTGGCCTCTTTTAACCTTTCCCTTTCTGATGCCGTCGGAGGCGGGGCGTCTGCGTCTTTATCTGCGCCGAGGCAGAAGGCCGACCGGCCGGACGTCGGTCTCTACCGTTAAAGAAGGAACGTTTGTTTACATCCCAAAGCAGCAGTTGTGTTTCATTATATCCGGCCCCCTTTGATGCCCCTTTAAAAACCCGGTAGAGTCAACGTCCTTCACCGACCGCCGGACTGGACGGTGCTCCTCTGATTGGTCAATAAATACATAAAACAAACATCTAAACCTCCTGAATGAAAAGGTTGGAATAAAGGAAGAATCAAGCGGATTGATGGGAAGTCTGCAGGAGCTAAACACACTGGAAAAGATCGACATCTAGATAAGATTTTTTCTTAAAATAAATGCATTTGTTGTTGGATTGAGGAGGTAAAGGAGACATTTTGCTAATGGAACAAGACTATTTACATTTAAAATAAGGAAACACTATTGCATTGTCTTATTTCAAATGCATGTTATCTAATTATCTTATTTTAAGAGTAAAAATACTAATTTCATTGGCAAACTATCTAATTAACCTACTAATTATGGGAAAATACACTTAATTTAAGAAATTTTTACTTATTTCCAGATGTATGAGTCAACTGGGCAGCTAACAGCCGTTGACTGAGAGACGGGGGCCTCCATGGAGCCCCTACCTGCCTTTAAAACCCCTGAAAGCCTGAATTTAGACATAAAATTCAATTCTATTCAGTTTATTTCTATAGCTCCATTTCACATTATGTCATCTCAGGTCACTTTC